TTACGTAAGATCGCATGATTAATTTGAATGACACAGTTTAGACTTAAGCGCTATTTTTAGAACAGAGAGATAAAGTTTCCAAATGAAATAAAAAATATAAAAATGTTATAGTGAATTAAATTTAGAAGTTTGGTTTGATATTTTTTATCTTACACATATATAGACGTAGTGACTATTTTTGTCTTGCGAACAAAGATACAGCGAACTAAACACGAATTCTTCGATTTCGCTGGATCAGCTACAATTGGCATTTCTAACTATTTATGGATGATTTGAGGCCTAAGAAATAGCAGAGACAACAATAAGAACAGGCGAGATTTGAGTTACAAGGAAGTAGAAATGAAGATTTATTATTAGATATTTCAAAGTTAATATTACTATGCATTCTTTTTGGAATGCAGGTGTCTTTTAAAGAAATAATATTGTGATAGCTACCAGTAGTTTATGCATGGCTACTTTTCATTTGTTATGGTCTTACTGTGACCGCGTCTTTCGAAAATTAAATTATTCTCATAACTTTTCAATCTCTAGTTTCAGACTATAAAAGTAGTAAAACAAGGATAAAAATACAAGAGGAAACACAGTATAAACCTGTCTGTGTGTGTGTGTGTGTGTATTTTTGTTCAGTTTCTCACCCGTATTTCTATTAGTTAAAATCTGACATTCTTCAACAATAACGATTCAGTTTTGTGAGTTGGCAATAACAGATATTATTTTTTATTTAAAACGAGAAATGGAATATTTATATGATTTTTCCCATTTTAGAATTTTTTTAACATATTTTCTTTTTCTACAAATTGACATGAAAAATTCAAAAGCGGTTGCTATTTGTTACTATACTATTTGTTCGTTTTCATCAACCGGCGGAGTGCGGTTTGAAGTTACATGAGTCCTACTATTAGTCGATTGGTTTTGATCGCTAATCACTGGTGGTCCAATTCGGGCTTTAAATCCTGTAAAACGAATTGATCACACTGGTATTTTCATGGCTTTAAATTACAATTTGAAGTTTTCGTCTCCAAGATCTCAAGAACATTCCTTTCCTTTCTTTAATTCATCTTTGTGATTTTACGGACCGCTTCATAGTTATTCTCATTCTATTCAAAAACATGAAATCAAAGATGTGATTCCTGTAAATATAATCAAATTTCGTCAACAATCGGAACTCTTAAAATTATAATGTTCTTTTGTGGAACCCCTAAAACTAAAATTTCGTGGAACTCTATATCTTTTTTGTGGAACACCTAAAACTACAATATTTTTGAAGCCTTTAAAATTTCTGCAAAATACTTAAAACTATAACTTTCATAAAATCCCTAAAACTGTAACTTTTTGTGGAACATCTATAACTGCAAATTTTGTGAAAAATGTAAACCTATAATCTGTATTTAACTTTCTAAAGATATAAATTTTTGTAGAACTCGCAAAACTGTAACTTTTTGTACCCCCTAAAAGTATCGAATTCTTAAAATTCTAATTTTTGTTAAACTCTAAAAGTGTAAATTTTTATGAAACACTTAAAATTAGTATTTTTTTGACAAACTTCTAAACAATGATTTCTGAGGAGACGAGATTTTGAGGATACTTTGGTGTAACTACTACATCCACAGAAAACTTAATTTTAAAACAGCATTGAAAACAACTTAATGTCATCTGTATTTTATGCCAAAAATCAAAAGAAAATCATTATATCATTGTTCCTTTAATTATAAAAATAGTTACTTCATATTATTTTAAGAGACAATAATAAATTTGCGGTCCATATGGAGTTCAAAATTTCTTTTGAAATCTGATTTTGCTGTGCGGAGGAGCTGCTTGGAAAAAAGAGCTGCTTAGAACTACAGGAGTTGCTTGGAACTCCAAAATTTGAAGACCACTATAATGCGTCTTAGAAGTTTTTATAGTTAAAATTGATGACTTTGCAATGAATAGAGTACCAACATATATATATCATGAAAATGCTGGTTTTATTGTACAAATATATGTAAAATTGCATGTAACGTCTTTACGGGAGAAAAAAAAAAAAAAGAAATCTGAAAAACATCTTACAGATTTTATATTCCCCCAAAGGGACGTTCTTAACGTTTTGGATGTCACTTTTATTTATTAAATATCATGTTCTTAGTTCTTAAAAAAAAAAATCAATTCAAGAACAATATCACAAAATATTTAAAAACAGCATATGTTTAGAATTTCTGATAGACAATTTCGCGCCCTGGAGATAAAAATGTTTTTTTTCTGTACAGTGTTGCTACTGCTTGCTTTAAAATTTTTGAGTTTGTTAATCAAAAATTCGTTAAAAGTTTACAAAATACGAAATACTAAAACAAATTCGAAATTCAAAATTCCTTCCAGGTGTCCATGTTCGGGTGGAGGATTAAGTTATTTAAAATTTCATGGCTTTAGGTACCGTTATTTTTTCACAGTGCGAAAAACATACATACATATATACCAACATATTCATGCAGATTCTTCATTATTTAGTTTCCTTTAAATATGATACAGAGCCATAATATTTTTTAGTAACAATTTAAAAAGTTATATGCCGTGTATTGTGAACTGACGTAAAATGCCGTTTCGAGACGCCCAAAAGAACGTTAGCCCTTTGGAGCTAAAAAAAAATAGTGTGTAAAAGAAAAGTCACAATGAATTATGTTCTTTCTTATGAATATTAGCGCAAAACTTTAATTAGATTACATCTAACTTTTATTTTAACGTTTGAATATTTTTTTTTTTTAACTTTACGGTATTTTTTCGGAGATACTTAAGAACATACTTATTAATCTAACAACATATTAAAAATTATAACTTTTATTTTATATGTGGAAACTCAAAACAGCGAAAGATAGCTACAGTACGAGTACCATCATAACCATAATATAACACTTTTGAAATCTATAACATACTTTTTGGTTGCAAGAAAGGCAGCAGTCCATAAACGTATGGGCATTATGTGACAAACTGTTAAGCTGATTATGGCAAAGAGCTCGAGAAACTTAAGGAGAGGTTTGCTTTCAATGAATTTTTTAAGGAAAGCTGGCTCGTCTTCACCTTGCACGTGAGGAATCATGAAAATGCCCTTGCAGGCCAATTCGTTCGCGGAGATTAGAGCTGGGGTTGGACTACCAGTGATCAGCGGTCATATCCACTCGCCCGTTAGTGGACATTGCATAACAGACTTGGAACTTGATTCAGCCCTTTGATGAAAAATAATTCCAATGTTTTCTCCTATCGCAAATGCACTAGATGATGAATGTTACTGTTTTCCAATTTTAATTTTCCAGTTATATTAATTGAAGTCTTGACTTTTAAAAGTGTCGAAGTCTTTCTCGAAGATCATCAAATAGGATAAACAAAAGTTAAAGAAAATATTAAGTAAATAAATTGCAAGCTGAAAACTTCAGATCACAATCTAAAGTATTATCACTGGGAATAAAAGGAAAAAAAAAAAAAAAAAAAAAAAAAAAAAAAAAAAGAAAGAAAGAAAGAAATATATATAAATTATAAATAATCATGAATTTAAAAAGGAATTGCAGTCTGATTTTGGAATACAAATATAACAAGAAAAGCAAGAAACAACTTTAAAACAAGCTGGGACAAAATGTCTACTAATTTAAGAATTAAACTTAATTATTCAAGAAATATTTATGCATTAATTTCACTGGATGACCAGCTTTCGAGGCTTGCAACAAATTTTTTCCTAAGTGGCAAATAATAATAATAATAATAAAACAGAACTGATGAATTAAATTTAGATAAAAATATTCTGTTTATAAATAAATAAATAAACTAAACTTCAGGAAATAAGGCAAGTAGAATAAATGATAAACGGTTAAATGATAAATTAAACAAAAATAAATGTTAAATGTATCATAACATCATAGGAAATTAAAACAATTGGAATTTGAGTGGTCTTATATTAGAAAAGGCGAAGAGGTAAAAAAAAAAAAAAAAAAAAAAATACATGTGAGATGTGAACATGTTCAGCTGATCAATATTTATCAATGTTTAAAAATGTTAAGCAATGTTTTTACCCAAAATATTGTGTAGAGTGAAAGTTTCAGTTAACTTTCATGCTTTGATTTTGATTTATTTTGTCAATTTTGCTGTTCATTGTTGCACAAAATTTGAGTGATATTGTAAAATAAAACAATAAATCCACCTTCATTTAATATTATTTATTTATTATTTAATCTGCGTTTAATCCTATCAAAAATGTGTATAGAACTTTAAAGTTTGATTTATCTTCTACTTTTTAATTCTTCCATTCTCATTCCCATGCAATTTATTACGCTAGCGAGTTTCACGTCTCCACCGAAGGCTTAGCTAATGATAAAATAAAATTATATATTTAAACAGCGGCTAAATAAGTAAGATATATTTTTGTTCAACTACTCCGGAAAATAATATCACCAGAACCAATCTTATCAGAGCTCATTAAATTCCTATTTGGAATTACATTTTCCTTCAAAAATCAAAAATTGTGAATTGCGGCTGAATTTTAAATCATGGAATCGGTTGAATTTAATTTATAGATTAATATATATCACTAGCTTAAAAATGCGGAATTTTTTATCTGCCCAAATATAATCACAGTTCATAAAAGATTACTTTGCATGAAAAGCTATACTATTTAACAAGAACAATTATATATATCGAGATCGTATCTTGCTGACAATTCGTTTCAGTTTTTCTTTCGATCAGGAACTAAAACTCTTCACCAAAATATATTACTGACATTGTATTCAGTTAATGTTAAACCAGTGCTTTTAAGAATAAAAATGTATCGAAGATAGTAGTTTTAAATTTAAACATTTTAATCAAATATTTTGTTTCGATTTCGATGACCTGGATATTAAAAACATCCTAGTAACATCAAGAAAAGAAAGAAAACGGGTGGGCGGAGACACGCGTTAAAGGCCACCAATCCCTATTACCTTTCTTCTTGACGTACCGTTTATTGTAGCCTGTGAAACGCGTGCAGGCTGCGGTGACAGATTTCGGGAAAGCGTGTGCCTGGTGATCAACATGGCTGCGCTTGTAAATGGATTTGTTGATCCCGTCTCTCGACAATTAAGTGTTAGTCAGAATAACTGTGATAATCAAGCTCCTACTAAGGATCACGATGCCATCAAATTATTTATCGGCCAAATACCTCGAAATTTAGAAGAGAAAGAACTGAAACCTCTTTTCGAAAATTTCGGTAAAATATATGAGTTAACGGTTCTTAAAGATAAATTCACAGGAATGCACAAAGGTAATTGTCTTTCTATCTTGTATAGTTTTAATGATGTAGAAAGAGAAATTACGTTCATTTTATATCATATTCGGTATCTGAAATCTGCCGTCATCGGCTTTATATAATGACTCATAGTCATCAATAGTTAAGCCGGGCGTACATCTGCCATAGAGAGCTCAGCGTCATAGACAGCTGTTTAATTTGTTAGCGTTTTTAAAATATCACCCTTCTCTTTAAATGAGAGTTGGTTTTTGATATTGCTTTGCGCTTTAATATTTCCTTCAGATTTTGGAAGGCGAGTTTTTGAGGTTATTTATATGACATTTCACATTTAGCTGTCATTTTAAAACTTGTCATGTCTTTGTTGGTGCGATGCAGATAAAATGACGAATAGCTGTTTTATCATTTAAGGTGTCTGTATTTTTTTTAACTAGTTGTATAAGTAAGGCTTTGTCATTTTATTCGTGCCAGTAAAACTCTAATAAATTTGAAAATAAGTAATTTTGAACATCACCTGTTACGTGATAATGAGAGCTGCGTTGTCTTTGTTTATTCTTATGAATCATTGTAGCACCAACTATAAATTTTGAAATGAATTTGACATTCATCCCTCCAAGTACTTTTGAGTAGAGAAATTTTCAAATTAGCTTTGTCATTTCAGATCAAATTAGTTTCGGAATCAAACAAATTTCTTTTTGAATCGTTAAATCCGTTCATTGTTTACTCCAAGTTGTTTTGGTACATGAAACTAGTGATTTAATGTTGCCCATGAAATTTTTTGTTTAGAAGCACTAGAGTTAAAAAAATAGCTATTTATGTTTAGATGGTCCATTTTAAAAAAAGGGCTTGACTTTATTCTTATAAAATATAGAATAAAGAAGAATTAGAAGCTTTAGAATGAATAAGAATGTTGAGATCTTAAGAATAATGTTAATAAAAATAGTCTGTTTAAAGCCAGTTTTTTTACTTCTTTCGCTTAATTTGAGAAAGATGTAGATCGTATTTTAATACTATTATTTATTCCTGTCATCCTTCCTTCCCCCCTTTTTTTTTTTACTTATTTCATCTCTTGAAAATCAAAAGGGGAATTTACACTGTATATACAATTAGGGAAAATAAATCAATTTAGAATATTAGAAAATGTATAAAAATAAATGTAATACTAATTGCTATAACAATTATTGCTATCAATATCATTCTTTTTACATACACATCATACTTAGTTATCTATCTATGCTTTTTATGTTGTTACAATCAGAAGTTTCTGAATCACATACTGAAAAGTTTGAGTAAAAATATGTGAGGGGAAACATAAGTAAATAAATAGAGTACTTAGTAATTATTAATATATTTTAATATATATATTTGGAAAGTTTTATAATTACTAATTACAAATTTATTCAGCCTGATTACACGAAATAAAAAATGTATTTACTTTCCAATTAAAGGATTGTATTTGACATTATTATAGTATTATCATTATATCTCTAGAAGAAACTAAACTGGCAGTGTGTCTTTGTGTATAATTTTGATAGTAAATATCTTGGTGTTGAGCTTGAACCTGAAATATGTAATTATGAGCTGTTAATGCAAATGACATCAAATATTAGCACTTTAATTGAAATGAGTCTTGAAGTAACTGAAGGCATTCAATTTTGTTGATCTTTTAGCTTAACACTGAGTGGACTGAAATTACTATAAACAAACTATAATATATTAAATAAATCTTATCTGAAGTGCCTTTCAGTTATAGGGAAACAAAATGAAGATTAATTTCAAATGAAAGCAATCGAAAATTGCCTTGAATTTTTCTGATAAAATATACTGCTATGTTCAGAAAGCTTGCAGAAAATACTTTTCTGTTTGAAATATAAAAAAATATTATTTAGTCACTTAACACTTGCTTTCCCCCCACTTCTTTTTGTGTATTGGTTTATATACATCATTCCAATGTAGATAAACAACGATGGAGACTTTTTGTGGTTTCTTTTTCTTTTAGTTCCTAATGACATTTTTGTGTGGAACTCTCTTTCCTTGATGCCCATAGCTGACTAACTATCATACTTACTTAGTCAGTGTGTGATACTAGTTAGACACACTGACTTAGTATCATACTATGGCCATAACACTCTGGGGTAAAATAATTTTGAGTCTGATGGTTCAGAACTCCAAGGGAAAATCATTTCATACGGTTGGACCAAGGGGGGATTGACGAAAACTTGAAACTGTGAGGAGAAAGGAAATAACTCTGTCTGATGTGGTTGGGCCAGAGGGGATGGGTCTTATAGTCCACGTAGTGCTGGTGGGAGCGTTTTGACAACCAGTCAGATATTCAGGTTTCTGTCATTCCCATCATTGTAGTCTCTGAGCACCGAGAGTGGTGATCCTGGTTGCCCAGTGTAGCAGTGGGTTACAGAGACTCACTGTAAAGTCTGTCATCTCGGGATTGAGAGTCCTGGGTTGATAGTATGAATAACATACTTCCTACCTCTCAAGAGGACTTTGACTGGATAACCCACCACCTGTCTAATATAGAGGTTTATCAGCTGGGCCAGTAGTGTCAGGATAATTGATAGCAGAAGACATAGAGAGTACTTACAACTTAACAGTTATACAAATATCTCAAAAGGTAAATACAAAATTTCAGTTTTGAGCATTAGAACAGTCTGCTATCTTGATTGTAAATGAAAATTAAAAAAAAAGAAATTGTCAATGTACAATGTTTATTAACTTCAAATATGGAGAACTTTGAACTTGTGATTATAATTATTCTCATAAAAATTTTTAGAATAATTTTTTGCTGTTATCATTCAGCAAATTTCAAAACATTGAGTTTAAGCCATATCATTTTTACTCATTATTTACTAAAATTTTAAACTAAAGGTTTCACAATATGCTCTTTCTCCCATTTTAAGTCATCAAAATACAGGAAATAATTTTTTTTACAGAAACTGGTTATAGCTGGAATATTATAGAAAACTGTTATAACTGGTTGAAACTGTCAGAAGTTGGCAGAAACTAATTATAGCCTTTTTAAATGTTATAATAATAAATATTATTTAAGTATTTTAATCAAATTTGTATGGATTTTTAATAATATATATTAACAATAATTATTATTGTAATCAGTGTGTAATTCTAATGACAGGAAAAGAGTAAATTCATTTTTTTAATATGTCATCATACTTCTAGAAAAATATCTGTTTATTATTTATCTTTAACATCAAGAATAAATTATGGAAAGCATCTATTCCGTAAGACAAAAAGGTGTTTGCCATAATCTCCTAAAATACATTAAATTTAAAAAATAAGCATATCTTCAGAAATAAAAATTAATTGGTACTTAAGTATTAATGTCTCAGTAGAAGTCTCCAAATCTTCAGAATGTACCAAAATCTGGCAGCTATGCACATAATCATTCTTCTAGCAACCATGCTTTATAAAATTCTTCAGTAAAGCAATGCCGCCATTTTTATGTGCGTTTGTTATTGTTGTATTCCAAGTTCTAATTGTTATTATAAACCAAATCGTGATACTTTTTGCCTTAAACTGCATTTTAAAATATAAACTTTTAGAATCTTCTAAAAAAAAAAAATGGCATGCAAATCACCAACTTGCACCTGATAAGAAACTTTTACCTTTTCATCTCTGAGAAATTGCCAGTCTGCACAAAGGTTGTTGGGTTAATGCAGAAGTACCAATTAATCCTTACTGACTTATGGCAGACTCTCCTGTGCTTCATTCAAGCAAACTGATGTGATTGAATGATATGTGCTGTTGAAACCAATGAATTACAAGTTAATCACTAATCACAGATTGTCATAGATATTTCAGTGGTAGTTAGAAATGCTTAGTGAAAAGTTTTATCAAAAGCAAGTTTGAATGTAATTTGTTAATGCCATTATGCCTACTACTAGAGGTGGTTGGAGTTTTTATTTGCAGAAAGAAATTAATAAAAAAGGTTATAAAGAAATATATCATTTGCAAATTTTAAAAAGTTATAAGAGAATATATCATTTGCAAATTTTGTTGCTGGTGCTAAGTCCTCCAGAATAAAAGATCACCAGAAAAAGGGCAGTAGTGATATCATTCATAAAAATAAGCTATAAGTATGCTTATATTCTGAAATAAAAATTGGGGAGATACCTAGTTATTTGCAAGATAATTCGGCCATTCTAATAATGAAACCAATGAAAGATTGGAAAAAAGAATCCCAAGAGGACACATTTGCCACATTATGAAAGACATTAGCCATTATAACAATTCCAAAAAACAAAAAGACTTAATTTCACAATAAAATTCTTTTACAGTGGTGTTATTTCATTCTCTCCCATTCAGACTTTACTCGAACATAAGAAACTTTATTAAAAATGCTGGGCTGTGGAGTCTGGTAGATTTTTGCTTAAAAGTCACTAAAAAACACGTCGACTCCACTCCAGTTTTTGTTGAACAGTTTGAATTTGAAATGAAATTAAAGTGAATTGAAAAAAAAAAAAAAAATTGGTGCTATTCGGTTTCGAGGGCCGTAAAAAATCGCCAAACTATTGTTGATGCCAATGCTGCTAAAAATAATTGCGGCAACCTTAACGCAAGAAAGGAAGTGTAATAGTAAATAACTATCTAAGAATGATATTTTAATCTAGATGAAAGGTTAATTTCATATAATACTTTTTTTTATTATAATTTATATGAAAAAGGCTAAACATGACTGAATGGAAGCATAATAGTAAATAACTATTTCAGATCATTATTATAATTTATATAAAAATTTGCTAAACATAAGTGAATGGATGCCTGCATCGCTATTTCTCTACCGACTTATGGCTAAAGCATCATTTCATCTCGTTGGTTGTTCAAACGTAATTTTCTATAATGAATGAAAATATTTGAAAATATTCTCGGTAAAGAATCGCCCACTTATTTGTTTGCCGCTTTTTACAAGGGTAAAAACTATTGGATTTTTGTCAATTTTCTTTTACTTTTTAAGTGAAAATAGGTCGATGTGTACATAGATAAAGCCAAGGGTGTGCGCAGTGCCATTTTTGTGCAATTCTGGGATTTTTTTTTAAGTGAAAATAGGTCGATGTGCACATGGATAGCGAGTATGTGCAATTTTTAAAAACGCGTCACAGCGGATGATTCTGAACTTTACCCAAAATTCTATTGCTGACTTTTCGTCATGGGCAATTCCCAAATTGTTAAATCCATAGGATATTAAAGAAGGATTTAAAATCAAAAAAGGATTTAAAAATGAAACTAGTATTTCAATGGCGTCTTAAGAAATATAAAACTATATAAACTTACTCGATCTGAAATCAGCGCTGTTATCAGCTAGATTTGGCGTGCTGTTTAAAATGGAACGCGTTTGCTAGATTGGCGATTTTGCGCATACATTTTCGCTGTAATTTTTACGGTCCTGAAAACAGAATAGTACCAAAAAATTTAATGACAAACTGAGTTAATATTTTTATTTATAGACTATATACATTAATAAAAAGTTATTTTCTATTTTATTGACATATTAGTAAATAAATATAAGGGAGCAGGATGGATGTGATATTTGCCATTATTGATTAAACTGATTCATTTAGTTACTAATGTCACTGGTGAATTGAAGGTAAGCACCAAGAACTCCCAAAATTGATGCCATTCTTAGGAAGCGAGCAGGAAAAGGAGCAACACAATGGAGAAGTACATATTTGATGATTTAGTTGTGGTTAGGATTAAGAACTTTTTCAGAAGATGTAAATAACCTTAATATTTCACTAACAAAAAGACTGTGGAATGATCTTGCAGACTTGGAAAATACTTCTTTCAACACTGTATATAGCCACAAAAAAGCTACAATCTGAAGAATTAACAGGATATGAGAATGTTAGAAGATGTAGATAACCTTAATGTTTCACTAACAGAAAGACTGTGGAATGATCTTGCAGAATTGAAAACTCTTCTTTCTATACCATATACAGCGACCAAAAAGCTACAATCTGAAGAATTAACTAGAGGCAAGACTGGAATACAATGTTTGTTCTTTCTGAAAATGGAGGGTTTATTGCAGAAGGAATCATTTCTTCAATGAAGAAAAGTGAAACTAGTTTGCTAGACAGTAAGATCGCGCTGGATTCAATATATGTAGATCCAAAATGCCGAATTTTATTGGATGACAAACAAATTAAAAAGGCAAAGAAAGCCATCTATGAACTTTCATTAAGAATGAAATTATTTTCAGAACAACTGGAGTATTCAAATCAGGACAGTCAAACTGCAGATACTGCAACTGAGTCTCTATCATCTTCTTCCACTGATGAATTGGATTTTGAGAAAAATTTGGATAATATTGAAAAGGCTAAGGTAAAGCGAATGAAAATAAAGAACCAAGAGCTTTTAGATATAAAAATGAAAAAATACGAACAAGATTTTTACACGGCCTTTGAAGAAGTAGATAAATATGATTGCTCTTGCAAGACACCTCTTTTAGAACTTACAAAAATCTATCCTGAAAAGTTAAAGGAAGTAGCCATAACAGTAACAGCTCTTCTTTCTACTCAAGTCAGTGTGGAAAGACTCTTTTCAATTCTGAAGTTTATCAAATCGCATCTATAGTCCTCTAACAAAGAAGATCTTGCTGAAAACAAACAATCAAAGGAGATCTTGTTTCTTAAAAATTACTAATGCCAGTTTTTCCATTTCATAATAAATGCTAATTAATGTAAAAATTTTGCTATGCATCAGTTTAGCACCCACTACTCCTTTTATATTAAAAAAATAAGCTGCACCCATGTCTATGTTGTAACACAATTAAGAAGCAATCGGCCTAGTGCGGCCTTTACCAATATATTATAAATAGGGCATCTTTAATGATGATTTGAATCCAGTAAGATGGAATGTACTTTTTGCACCTAGTGCATAGTCTCTAGAAGAGAAGTAAGCGTGGTGCCGTCTTTTGGCAAAAATTGTAGTAGAAAAGAAGAGCCATTTGCATGAGCGAGGCTGAGGCCCGAACCCACGATGTGAGGATCTGTAGCTGCAGAATTTCTGTCGCTCTGTTTTGAGAAAAATTGCGAATTAATTTTGATCTGCAAAGTTCAAAATAATCTCGATAGCTTGAAAAGCTAGACAAAGTTTCTGCATATTTGATTTAGCTGGTTTAATTCTCTGAGCTATTGTGGTTATTGATTTCATGAGATAAAGGTTTTTCTAATCTTTGATAATGTTAATGATTTCTGCTAAATTTTCCTACATGTTTTTCTACTTAACTTTGTCACTGTAAAGGTTTTTAGGCATTTCTTGATTAGTTTGGGCTGAAGCTTAAATGAATTTGGGGAAGTCATCTTTAGTGGGAATTTCTTGTGGTTTTTCTATTTTCTCTAAATGATTGAATCTTTTTCTTTATACCTTACAACCATGATAAGAAGAAACGTGATTTTCGTGACAGTAAATGCAAGTTGGTTTTTCATCTGGTTTTAATTTACAGGTAACCTGCATCCATTTTTATATGTTTACATATACAGTCAAAAGTCTTTAATCCGGACTCGTCGGGACTTCGGCGACTCCGGATTATCGGTTTTTCCAGATTATAGATCATCAATTTAAATCTGGTAAGATGGCATTCAGAAATTATAAAATTAATATAAAACCATAATTTATGAAATAAAGAGCAATTATGATCTAAAATGTATCAAAATTTACAAAAAAAAAAGAGCTTAATATTTATTTGTTTACTTTATTAAACATTTCTTTCAACGCGTGCATGCGGAAAGCATACGTTACGCATAGTCGAAATTAGAAATTAGAAAAAAAAACAGAGTCATCTCTTCCTTTCAGGTGACCTACCAACAAGGTTTGACTATATGTCTATCCTGTTTTATGTCCAGCTTTTCAAAACATGGTTTTTGATTACATTCAAAACACAAAAGAGTTTTATTTCATTGTAAAAAACTGTATTATGATGCACCTTTTCCCCTATGTGTTTATTAATTATTTTCAGAAATGCAACTGGTTTTCTACCACACCTCTTGTATCGTTTATTTCCAATTCACAAACTTAATCATAAAATGATCTTATAAGTATATTCATGAGCTTATTTTACTGAAATTTTCTTTGTCAGAATATTAGAATTCTATTTTGTATTTCTAGGTTGTGCATTCTTGACATATTGTGCAAGAGAAAGTGCCATCAAAGCACAAAATGCTCTTCATGAGCAGAAAACTTTACCAGGGGTAAGTTCAGTTTAAAAAGATTTCATTAAAAGTTTATTTTACCTTATGAATCTAATCCTGTTTAAAGAAGTTCTCAGTAATCTTTCATTCATTTTGTTGAGAAAACAAATTTTAGTTTGATGGCATAGTATTTGTAAATGCCCTTAATGGTTTTCAGCTGGAAAAAATAGTGTATTTTTAATAATGGGAGAATTTTTTATTTAATTAAGGTATCTCATGAGAAACAAATATATATTCATTAGTTCATTAGAACTAATGTGTATATGAAATATATACTCATTAGTTCTGTTAATATTCTGTTGTTCTGGAACAAACATTGAATAATTTCATCAATTAAAAAATTATACAGCTTTCAATCCATATTCTTCATTTAATTTTTAGGTGCATGTCACATTTATTATAATGTAATTCCATTTTTTCATTAATTCTCTCTGTCATTTACATACAAGTTGAAATATATTGTTAATACCGTAAGCTATATAAGTAAAAAATTCCCATTAGATATGTTAATAATTTTAAGCAGGTAGTGAATTGATTTGGGTTTAAGTTAGGCATATTAATAATTTAAAACATTTCTAGGTTTATACTGTGTTAAAAAGTGTTGTTTTACGGTAATGTACATAAAATTCAAATTCATATGTACATCAGAACTCAGATTTATTCATTCTTCTGGTGGTAGAAGCATTACCATTAACAAACTCTATCATTTAGATTCAGAATGACTGTTAGGGAAAAACTAAATTACCATATCTTTACAGGAACTTTTCCAAGTCGCTTGTTTGCAATAATTAGTTAACTTAGAGTCATAACATTTGTAAACCTTTTATTAATAATCATGGGTCATTCCAAAATTACTTTGGAATTAATTGCTGATCATTCCAAACTAAGTTACATAAGACTAATAACTAATTGCTTGTATAAAATTAGTCACAAAAAGATTTAGATTGACATAGATTTTTTTTGTGGGGGCAAGGGGCTTTTGAAGAAGAGAACTTATGTCTGTTCATCATCAAAATTGTGTTTTATTCAAAATCTATACTAGTCTAAGGCTGCTCTTTCAATAATTTTTATCGGCTTATTTTTCTTCAAATCGGTTCTTGTTCATTAGAGTAATGTTGTTATGTAGAGTATGAGTACACTGTTGTCAGCAGAGTCAGCCTTAGAGGAAGAGCATGTAGAAGGAATATAAGTCCATAAGAAGATTAAGGTAGGGTCAGCCTGAGAGGGGTGCAAATTGTGCAAGCTTTTAAAATTATGTGTTCATCAAGGCCTTATGGCCCTACCAGATTTATGTCTTTTGCAAAATCTGAAAATGAATACAAAGCTCCCCAGAAGATCATTTACAAACTTCTTTATGTCCTGCTCTGCCAAATCATAACAAATTTTACATAGGAAGTTGTGTCTGAAACCATGACCATCCGCTGCTAGAAGGCGAAGTTCACAGTCTATTCGGAGAGAAAAAAGCAGGATCTTTTCAGGTGAGGATAATGCAGAAAAAGGATAAATTGATTCTGCAACGAAAAACTGGCTGACATGCATTATGAGTTTGGGGCCATGGATGGAAATGAACAAAACAAGCTACAGGACATGTGTATTGAGAGTGCTTCCCAAACAGACATCTGTCAAGTTATCCATTGTTTAGAGCAGAGTTATTTAAATTGTGGGTCGCGACCCCAATTGGAGTCTCGGGATCTGCAGCAGGGGGGTCACCAAAAATTTAGCAATTTTGTTATTTCTTTAACTTATTATAATTTTATAATTAGTCTCACTCACACGTGTGTCGGATTTGCACAATGTTTATGACCAAAAAGTTTTCTTAAATATTAGGGGTATCTTACACCAAAAAGTTTAAGAAACCCTAGTTTAGACAGTTGCACAGCAGATAAAGTAATGATAAAGTAGCTTTTTGAATAGATAACCACATTGGTCAACAATATAGTTCATGCACACCTGTCACAGAGGAAGCTGTGCTACGTGATTTCATACACACCCATGAACAAATATCAGAGCAATTGAACTAAAAAGACTAACTTCCCATAACACAGCTTCCTCTGTGGCAGGTGTGCATATATACATTGCTGGCTGATATGGCTACTTGAAAATCTGCAGTCTCACTTAATCTGTGATTCCTACTTACGATCTGGTAGAACTCAGCTCTGCCAAGTGCCCTAAGGTTGTCATGGACATATCTTTCAACATCTTTGTTTGGAAGCTAAGAAGGGTTGTGTGCTTGACTAGGGTTATTATCAAACTACCAACACTTTACAGGCTTAACTCGGCAACTCCCTAATTTATTCTGTACTGGCTAGGCTTATCTAGCCAGTTTTACGGCATATTCCCTCTGCGCTAACATGAACTATTGTGACCCTTTGCTCAGACATCTCTTTTTTACAGCTAGGCTAGGCAGAGTTTTAATTAATATATTACACTTTTAATTTTAATTTTAATTAGCTTACCAACTTTCGAAGTTTGGGACATATATATAATTTTTAAATACTTTTAATTAACAAATAAATTATTGGTACTTTTCCATTTTGCCAGTGCAAGCGATAAAGTTGCCAAAAATGGTACAACCGATGCCAAACGGAATATCCTCGCTGGTAACCTTTTACACCTCATTTTCAAAACAAGTCGTAGCCATTTCTTATCAGATTGATTGTTTCTTTTCAATCCTGTCATACAATTACATAGAATTTTTAGCAGATACAGTCAAAAGTCGTTAATCCGGACTCGTCGGGACTTCGGCGATTCCGGATTATCGATTTTTCCGGATTATAGATCATCAGTTTAAATCTCGTAAGATGGCATGCAGAAATTCTAAAATTAAAAATATGAAACCGTAATTTATGAAATAAAGAACAATTATGATCTAAAGGGTATCAAAATTTGCAAAAAGAAAAAGCTTAATATTTATGTGTTAACTTTATTAAACATTTCTTTCAATGTAAGTTGTTTAAGTTTTGCTTCATTTCATGTGATAATACTTTCTCTTTAATTCTATTAAACAGACATAATATCTTGTTCAGTTACAAAGTTCCGCGGTTCAAGTCCTATAATTGCTGTGTCAAGAACACCGACTAATTTGTCAATCGAAATTTTTTTGTTTTCAATAACCTCTGTCACTTTTCTCTTCACTATCCGGAAGCGAATTAATGACGAGGAACTTGTTTTAAATCATATCAAAGACGGAGCATATCGAGATGAAATACTACATTTGGTAAGGAATTATAAGCCAAATAATAATAAAAATCTCTGCGCTGAAGATAAGGATAGTGCTGACAAATCAACTTCCAATTCATTAGGCGCCCGCCGCCGAGCAGCGTGAAATTGATAAACAGATTTCGGATTTCAAAACATACTTTCGCTTTAGATCCTTTACATATTAACAAATATATTGGAAATTCTATTTGATATAATCGAAAGTTTAAGCTTACTTTTATAAAATTGCTCTTACAGTCTGTAAAAAATAATAAGCCGGATGCAATTCGAAATTAAGGAACAACGCAATCATCAACATTAACTGAAATAGATAATTAGATAATTTTAGCTTATACGTCCATTATACATAAAATGCGCACGCGAAAACGTATTCTGCACTTGCGCACACTCATATGCGCAGTCGTAAAAGGTCTTACGCGCACGTGTGAACGCCTCTGCGCATGTGTCAACGGGGCGCATGCGCAGAAAGTTTTTAGTTTTGATGTCCGGATTATAGATCATTCCGAATTATGGGTGTCCGAATTAACGACTTTTGACTGTAGTTCAATTTTATGCCCTAAGGCCATTCATGGTAATTAAGTCAATTAAGATGCAATCATACCACTCACATTAAGCAAATATATAGAAAAGGTGAAGTCAAAGGTTAAACTGATTAATTCTAATGAGAATGCACTAACGAAGTAAAGCACTGTGGTTTTACATAGTTTCTGAGTAAGTTATTCGTACGAATTGAAATAATTCATGCATTTAAACTTGTATTCCAAATTAAAATTTAACTTGAAATCAATGTAGATACCGTATTTGACGGCATACATGAGACACACTTTTTTTCCTAAATTTGGTCTCAAAAAAGTTACCTGCGTCTTATACGTGAAGGACACAGGTTAACTACTACTGAATGCTATTTTTAGCCCGGATATAGGTCTAGACATGCATAACTTTTTCTACATCTGCCATAATTATTTCGCACATGCGTGAAATATATGTCGCCAAAAAGCGCTAAAGCTCGAAGCTGATGTCGAAGTTTGAACAGGTTCGACGGTCGCATTACGTCTATGGAGCCTTTCCTTCTTTACGTAGACTTTCTTTGACTCAGCTGACACGTGTGTCGGTATCGGTGGTACTCTGTATAAACATAAGGAGGTAAAATCGGTAACGGTATCGGTGCTTAAAACTATTTGTTTAAAAAAATACCCTGAAAAATATGACTACAGGAAACGAGATTAAGCTATACAGTTCAGTATAAACTAAGAGTGTTAAACTACGCCAAAGTGCATGGAAACAGAGCAGCAGCAAGGCATTTTGGTCCTACCGAAAAAATGACACGGTGACTGCAGGAAGATCAATTGAAGACTGCTAAAAAAACAAAAACATAACCTTCAATGCCCAGCTCAATTTTGGTCTGAACTTGAAAATGCCATAAAAATGTGGGTGATAGATAAGAGGAAATCTGGGATAAGTGTTTCAACCAAAATGATAATCAATGAGGCCAAAGGATTTGCAGAAAAACATGGGAATCAGAACTTTTCAGGGTCTTGAGGGCTGGTGCTACAGGTTCATGTGAAAGTCAATGCGCACAAAAACAACTATTGCACAGAAAATGCCAGCAGATTATGAAGAAAAAATACTAGCATTTCATAGGTTTGTTATAATGCATGAAGAAAACTTCTTTGACTCGTCAATAGGAAATATGTGATTCCACTCACATGATTACGTCCAAGATGGAGTATTGTAACAAAAATTGCTCTTTTCGAGCGAGCTCCTCATAGCTTAGCAGAGAA